AGCCTCACCTGAAACGATATACTCCAAAGATAGATTTATCATTTCAGGAATAATTAAGATCAGTTCCAATTCAATTAATAATACTGACTTGCCTTATAAATCTGCAGTATAGATTACTAAGAAAGCATGATTAAATAGAAGTGTGCAAAGCACTTGAATGAAGATTACATATTAATAAAGCATGTTTCTTTTAACTATTAAACAAGCTGTACTGAATATAGTTCCTACCTGTAAATGTGTGTAAAGCATTGCTGCTTTAATGTGAAATATTTAACAAGTTTAAGAGAGATACATAGTAAAACACTTCATTCATGTGAATATCCAAGAAATGAAGTCTGATCATCTCCCTCAAAAATTGTGTTGTAAGCCACCCTAAAACTCAGTAGATGGCCATATCTAGTCCTTCTTGGCTGTTCTTAAAAAAGAGAGAGAGAGTTGGGCGTAGTTAGAATTTGCACAGGAGACTATCAAATTATCCCAGGACTATAGATTGGGAAGTTAAGAAAACATTTTAGAAGGAAATCATGATCATGACAATGCAAAGCACTTTCTTTTTGCTGCTGAGTAAAATATGTGAATGGGTGCATTAAGGTGGTGTATACTTCAAATGTGATTTGGAAAAAGTGCTTGGCCTTCAGGTAAATATTGCACTGAGCTGTTCATTCAAATAACCTGATCTTTTTCAGGTTTCCATGTAACCCTGAAAGATTCAGTTTCTCCAGGGAATCTGCTCCTTAAAGTTAAGATGACTTTTGCTGGATAAAATGAAGATGTATGAAATAGATCATAATTATTTAATGAATACCAGAGAGCTTTTTTTATAATGTCTAGTGCCAAGCACATCCTCTAAGTCTTTTTTAAAGTGTGTAGAGCCCTTGTCACCTTTTAGACACAAGGAAACAAATTTGACCCCAGGGACACTTGGATATGTGTGTTTATAATATTTGTGTGTAACATTTAAAAAGAAACACCCACCCACCCCAAATAAATATAGGTAAGTAAAAGAGTAAAACTTTTATTTTGAAATTGCAGGATCCATTTTGGGTTGGTCACTGGGACCAGAGGTTTAGTCATTCTTAAACCATTAAATTGCTCTTTTTGTTAGGCCATTTTCCCCAGTATTCAACTAAAATATGCCTGCCTAAAACTTGAATACAATTATTCCATTATTCCTTTATAAAGGATTGTGATTGCCACCTTGACCTTTTCGAAACCTTTCTCAAATGCTGCTTATATTCTGTACTTTGGGGTGAGAGAGAATTGCCCTTCATTTATTCTGTCTGATACTCTTCAAATATTTTCTGAATGTTGATGGGTTTAACATGTTTCCCTTGTTACTTCTTTTAAAACACATTTCAGCTCAGTATCTAGTAAATAGACGAGGTAGATATCTTTGATTTTGTTTGATAACTGTTTTTCTTGGGATTTCTTCGTATTCTTCTTGTTCTTGTTATACTTGTATAGAGCTTCCTTTAATCAAAGACTTTCACATACCATTACACATATCTCTTCTCATTCATCTTCTCTACTGAATTTTATAGCTGTGCTTCAAAGTGGTAGCTGCTTAAGAATGCTCATTTCACTTAACCAAAATCATATATTGATCATTGCAGCAGGCCGATATGGTGTAATGATTAAGCCAAAATCTAGGTTAAAATTCCAGCTACCTATGGAAGTTTCTGAGTGACTATGATCAATTACTCTCTTTCAGCATAACAGCCCTCATAGGCAACAAAATGATGGAAGGCACACTTGAAAGATTCCTATATATTCTTTGAGTTCTCAACAGAAAGTTGTGGAAGGACCGTGATAAATAAGACAATTTTTAAAATAAACTGTGGACTTTGCCCTTTTGGGAGTTAATATGTAATAAGTAAATGCATACTACAATATTGTACTCTTTTATTTTATATAGTTTCTAAGCACTTCAAAGTCTGGTGTGAAGAAAACTTCGCTATCAGTGCAGGCATGGGACTTATTGCAAAACAGGCAACAGGTTCTTCAAAGAAAAATCTAATAATACAGGAGTAATTGCTCCTGTATTACTAAGTCAGACTGGAATTCTAAATAAATTCTAAATACTGCATAAATATGGAAGATCTTATTGGGCAGAAGGACTGTGCTTGGAAAGATGGAATTTAAACCGTAAAATGAAATTATTTCTAATGAAAATTTACTCATAAATTTGCTGTGTGTTGAATTTAAATTAACACCAGATGGAAAATGCTTTATTTCATGGAAGTAAGTTTCATCAAAGAGGTTTTATGATGTCTTTCAAGTTGCTTTTTGCACTCGCATTTAACATTGTGTATAAGGGGTTGACTGGAAGCTGTTTTAAAAGAACATGTATGAATTGGCAGATGGATTAGGATCAGGGGTGGGTTCTACTTACCTTTACTATCGGTTCGCAAAGGGGCCACGCGCGCAGGCTTGCTTTGCTTGTGCACATGCTCTTCTGCGCATGCGCAGAAGCATTTTCATGACATCAGGGTCAGTGGGCGGAGCCTCCCACCGGTTTTACTACCGGTTCTATAGAACTGGTGCAAACTGGGGGCAACCCACCACTGATTAGGATACTTGATTCATGATACCCACCGCTCAATAAAGTGCTTTTCTATAGTGTGGTATTTTTAGTCTAACCCAATTGCAAAGGAACATACCCCACAGAAGCTGAATTTTATGTTTATTTATACCACATCCAGATTTCAAATATGTACATGAAATAAGAATTTTAAACTTAAAGAATTCTTTACAAAACTTTGGCTCTATCATTGCAAATTGCAGCTTAGAGATCAAAGCCTATTATTTAAATAGGTTAAAGCCTTGTGTTATTTGCCAAATACCACAAGATGGCAATGTTTGAGAAACGTTATGTCTTGCTTCAGTCACCCGAGTGCTCTTTAAATGAAAAGCTATGCTAAGTAAAGCACTAAGGCAGAACTACTGTAGAAAAATTTAAAGTCTCAATTGCCTAAAAAAGATTAGAATTAGAAATTCTTGTGTGCTAATGTTGGTAGGAATGTTTCTTTAATTAATATAGCTTCTGATGAGAGTATATTAACTCATCGTGGTACTCCATTTTGGTATGAACATGCTTTGCAGAGCACAAAAAAGGAGTAAAAGTAGCTAACAAACATAAGAGTAGGAGATAAGAAACAAAGGCAACATAGCTAAAATTAGATTATGGACTAACTCCATTCATTGCATATCTCCGTATCCCACCTTTACTTCCAGTAAACTTCATCATGTTTTCCCTTCATTTCTTTAAACTGTCCACCTTTTTGAGGATATTATCAAATACACCCAACCACAACTTTCTTGGACTTCCCTTTGTTTTGGTCCCTTCACTCTTTCTTCAGTTAGTTGTTCTGTAATTTGATCTATTCCTTCTATAGGACTAAACTATCTCAATGTTCTATGAACTGGTCAGTTTTGTTTTCAGTCCACATTCATTCATACCCATTCATTTGTAATTATCTCTTCTAGTTTTACCACCTTAAATACTTCATTCCCATTGAATATTCCATAATTCAAGGCTGTTTACTTAATCATTTGTTTTCTCTAAACAAATACAAATGCAACAAGCTTTCTTTTTTCCTCAATGAATGGTTGAAATGTGAAACTATTTTGTATATGAACACTTTCCGTATTTTTCTTGTTGGCTTTTTAATCAGGCTTCTGCCAGATTATAGCATCTTCCAATTGTCAGATATAGATGCAGTCTTCAGATACGGTAAAGAAGTTGTACTCCCATCCATATTTTAACATTTCTTGTTATATCTTTGCAGCCTCATCACTTTTTGACACTTGGGACAGTATTTGATATTTTTTTCATCACTTTTTCTTTAACACTAATTCATTTTCATTCCATTCTTCAACATACTCTATTATTGTCGTACCCATACATATCTAAAGTACTCCTGCTAGCAGCTTCTCATTTTAGTTTCAATTCAAATAATTTCATCTCTTCTGTAGCCAGGCCTCATTTAGCAATGGCCCCAGTTAAAAACTGTTGCAAATACAATTATTTATAGCAGGAAAACAGTAGTGAAAAAACATTTTCTGACAAATGTTCACATTTCTGCCCCTTACAACAATGCATGATTGAGAGTGAGGCTGGTGTTGCTGCATGAGAAGTCTTTATCTGAGTGAGACAGCAGTAACTAGAAATCTTTGCAATTTCCCTCTCTCTCTCTCTCTCTCACACACACACACTCTTAGTCATGTAGTTTGCTTAGTGACTATTTCACTGGAATGAATTGCAGCCATTAAATGATAAGATAGAGCAGTGTTGGCTAACCTTTTTGGCACCAAGTGCCAAAATGGGAGCATGCTGGAAACTGGAAGAGCAGTTTCCCGGCTGTGCTTCCAGTCACCTGGTCTTCCGGTTTCTGGCACATGTGCGCACATGAAGACCAGCTGCCCGGCATACATGTGCATACTGGAAACCGGAAGCTCAGCTTCCTGGTGCATGCATGCACCCCAGGGAGCTGCTCTTCCAGTTTCCGGCACTCCCGCTCTTGTAAAGACCAGCTAGCCAAACCTGGAAGAGCAACGGGCGACAGCTGGCCTGCCCGGAGAGATGGCTCTGCGTGCCACTTCCAGTACGCATGCCATAGGTTCGCTATCACGGAGATAGAGTATTTTTAATCCCATTCACTCTGCTGCAGGCCTTTTTACTTAATCACCTTCCAAAATATATATATATTAATTTCCCTGAAATCTGTATTTTGTTCTACTTCTACCAATGAAGTTATAAATTCCTAGAGTAGAAAATGTCATCCCCATCTGATTAAAATGGGGAAAGGGAAGACTTGGAAAGAAAACCTGAATAGGCAACTCTTACCAATGCAGGGTCCTCTCAAAGACCTCTGAAAACACAGTGGGCTTTCATACCACCAGTGGAGATGATATTGTGGAATTTAAAAAGTATGGCTTCCATTTGAAATCTCTCTGGGGTATGTTGCTTCTCTTCACAAATACACTAGGAGTCCTGACCCTATGAGTCAAGCATAGGTTTATTTAAGACTTCCAGCATTGTCAGATAAGCACATCTTCGTGTGGCTAAAACAGTATTACTTTGTAATCAGAGTGATTATCACAATACAAACAATACTGCTTTTATTTCCATATTGGCAGCATAACCAGAATATATTCTACATTCTTGTCATAAATTAGTATAATTTTTAAATATGTATTTTGTAAACTATATATTTATAAAAAAGAAATCATATAATCCAGATTCCAATAATAACTATACATCTCCAAGAACTCTTTAAAACCATGTGTACTTGTCCTCTTCTATTTATACTTTGTAGTTCAAAGATGACACCACACACAATTCTTGTCTTCTCAGGTTATTTGAATTCCAATTTATAATCATATCACGCTGAAGTACTCGACATTAAACCCCTTCAGACCCCATTTTTAGGACTTCCATCTTGATCGATTCAAAAGATTATTTTTATTAAGGTAGATTGATCTTATGAATCTTGTCTTTTAGTGATTAAAAGTGTTAGAATTAAAATAGGGGAAATTCGCTTTATTACTTGGCAGTAATATCCTGTTGTAAACTGAATGCATTATCATTATGTCGTATGAAGAATGCTATTTTTTATTGTATCTGATAAGAATCTAGAGAAGCATGAAAACCTTAAATTGTTGCTTAGCACATTGGAAAACTCACAGGTAGTGGCAACAAGGGAGTGGATGTTGACTTCTAGGCACACAGTTAATCACGAGATGGAGTACCAACAAAGTTCTTAATATATCAGCATTAAGATTCTTGATTTTACAGACAATTCAAAAGCAATTTGAATTAGATAGGCTGTTCTGGTAAATGCTTAGGATATATCTATCAATTGGAAGCTTTGTCAGCACAATATAATAGAAAATATGGCACTAAGTCACCACAGGCAATAACATAGATTTATAATAGATACACAATTGCTGTAGCTCCCAATAATTCACCTGAACTGTGGATGAGATGATGGGCTTTATTTACCAAGCATGCTACTGAATTAACCCATTTTCTTGGCTTGTAGATTGGGTTCACATCACATGCCAATTAGAAAAAAAATTAAGTTTAAAAACTAATCAAATTTTGGATGTGCAAATCCAGCTGTTATATTTTTGACTGACTCAATTAATTGTATTGGGTGAAAAAGAGTAACTTTTATAAAATTTACATTCTTACTTCCATTTATCTAGTTTACTTAGAGTGAGTAGTTTAAGAATGATGTTTTTAATAAGATAGCAGCATAAATGTAGTTAAAAAAATAAGTCTAAAAAAGGAGAAATATATTTCTATTTCTCGCAGCACTAATTTCTTATTACTTTTTGCAAATAATCCCACACAAAATCACTGTAATTTTCAGAACAGTATATTTAATCTCTCACTTTGCTTTGGTTTCTCTAAAATAGATCAGGCAAAAGAATATCTTTACAGAAATTAGCAGACAATATCTTGGTTGGTTTCACTGGAACTATGTATATATTTAATCAATAGTGGGGTCCATCATCTGTCTGGATTTTCTTATACATGTATTTCATACTGCAGATAATACTTGTTAGACACGTAAGACTATGCCTTGAACTTATAAACACTATTGCAATATAAAGTATTTTAAAGATCATTTTAAGGTAGCATTTTATTTATTTTGCTGAAATGACGGCAATATTATTTTTTGATTTTTTAAAAAATACTTTTCAAGATGATATTGTATTTTTATTTCTATGGAGGGAGAAACACTTTTATTTTGATGAGTCTTCAGGAGTGTGTTTGGGTTCGGCTTTCCCTTTCTCTAAGAGGATCAGTTCAGTTCTTGCTGAAGATGAAACAATGGGCTCTGATGACATATCACCTGAGGTTTCATTTTCTTCTTTTTCTTTGAGTGATAAGGTTTCCTGAGCATCAAAGAAAGTTTCATTTTTGTCTGTTGGACTTTCTTCACCCTTTCCTTCTTTTGAATCTGTTTCCTTTTCTTTGCCCACTTCCTTGCTCTTTTTTGTTGGAGATGAAAAACCTAATTTAGGAAATTTAAACCATCCTGTTTTTTCAGTTTCTTTGGCAGTGTCACTGTCTAATTTCGATGAATCATCAGGCTGTACTTTCGGCTGAGCTTCAGGTTTTGAATCTGATGTTGTGTCATCCGTAGTGGGAGAAAACCCAATACTTGGAAACCAAAGTTTAAATCTACCAGATCTCTTACTATCATTTTCATCTGTGACCTCGTCTGTACTACTTGCAAATGCCGTTTCCTCTGCAATTTCTATAGCAGATTTAGATATCTCTATTAGCTCAGAGTGACTCTCTGCAAATTCACTAGAAGACTGTACGTCAACTGTGAAAGATTTAAGCGTCGTCAGTGTTGCAGCAGAAGATGTTCCTTCAATATATTCATAAGTTATATCCTTATCTTTATCAGATGGTTTCACTTCACTCAAACCAGCCTTTTGTGCTGCTTCTCCTGTACCTGAAAGTTGATGATCCTTATCCTCAAATATTTCACCCATACATTTTGTAGAAGATAACTTGACTGGTACATCTAAGCTCACGTGTGATTCCTGGATTTTCACTTTGAGAAGCGAAAATCCAAAGGCAGCAGTTTTAACTTCTGATGGAGGAATCTCAGATTCTTTTACTATTTGAGTGGAGAAAGATTCCTGTATTTCAGCATCATCACCACAACCAAAGGTAGATTTACTTTCCATCCTTATTTCTTTACTTTCAGTGATTGATCCTTTAACCTGCACTGGTTCACTTGAACTAAATGGATCATCAGGCTGAAGTTTAATTTCAAGTGGTGCTCTTTGAATATCTGGCTCCTTCAGTGTTGTAATTTTAGCGATTGACTTTTGAACATTACTGTCCATAGTCTCTATTTTCTCTTTAAGAAATTCAGCACTGAATTCCTTTGGCTCTTGTTTATGCACATACACTGTTGTATCCACAAAAGAAGAGTCTGTAGATTGGAATTTACTTCCAACTTGTGGTCTCTGAATGTCAGGTTCAGACAGTGTTGTAATTCTGACTTTTGATTTCTGAATATCATCTCCTTTTTCTTCAGGGAAGGTAGTCTTGAACTGCAATTGAGAAATATCATCATCAGCAGTATCCTTTATATCCACTGTCTCTTCTGAAGTCAGTTTTTCTCCTTCAGAAATTCTGTGTGTGAACTTGAGCATTTTGAATTTGGGCATTTGGAAACTTTCTTCTGCATCTCCAGGTTTTTTATCCTGAACTTGGATTCCTGATGTTTCTCCCTCGGGTCTAACTAATGACACCTCAGTCTGCACTTTTGGTGAATCAACCTGAATTTCTACATCCTGAGATTTACTGCGCAAGTTGGCAAATTTTGGCATCTTGAATTTGGATGCTTTTGTTTTACTTGTTTTCTCTTCTGCTTTCACTTCACCTTCTTTAGGCAAATCTTTTTCAAAGCCCTCAACTGGGAAATCAATGATTTCAAAGTCTTCATCAGTGATTGAAACATCCATTTTAACTTTGGAAAGAGTAACAGCAGGCTCTTCTAGGTCAGATTCAATACCGGGAACAATGGCATTGCTCTTTGTGGTGGACCATCCAAACAAAGGCACACTGAATGTTGGCATTTTGAATATACTTTCTTTTCCCTGAGAATCCTTTTTGGGTGACTTCTTTTCAGTCCCCATCTCTTCAGGTTGTGTATCAAGGCTTTGTAAAGGTTCTGGATCTGTAATAGTAGCATCAATTTTCTTTCCCATAGTAATTTCAGTAGATGGTACCTCAGCCACTGCTATAGTGTCTGGTATGACTTCAGGTTGTTGAATGGTCATCTCACTTTTAGGGATGTTTCTATCAATATCCATCTTTGGGATAGCGCCAATGAACCCAGTTTGAGAACTTTGTCCTTCTGCACCATCTTTAACTATATCAGCATACATTTTGGGCTCCAGGTCACTAGCTTTCCTGCCACCCATTAATTGGTCAGTGGTAGACTGCTGTTCTTTCTGTACTCTAACATCCTCTTGAGGAAGCATAACTTTTTGTTCTGAGATTTTTTCACTGTCAAGTTCCCTTGAGATGGTTACAACTTCAGGAGATCTTACTTCAACTTGTAATTCAGTAACATGAGCTTCTCCAGTGATATCTTCAGTTTCAGCATCACTTTTTTTTGCCTTTGAAGTTCGACCAAATGAAGGCATTTTGAATTTGGGCATTTTAAACCAACTCTGAGATTCCTCAGTCTGAATTTCATCGGAAATTCCTTCATCACTTTTAACTTGTAAGGGCTGAGCTTTCCCACCAAGTTCACCAGATTCTGTAGTCATTTGAAGCTGAGAGGCATCAGATTCAGGTTTTGATAAAGTGATTCCACTGCCTGACAGATCTGAAATTTCATTTTCTGACAGATCTGAAATGCCAAACTTTGGCATTTTCAGTTTTGGCATCCTAAACTCCCCCTCTGTACCATCAAATTTCATACTTGCACTGTCCATACAAATGTCACCTTTGAACTCTGTTTCTAAACATTCCTGTTCAAATGAACTTTTTGTCATGGACACCTTAATATCAGTTTTGGGTAAGCTGATATCTGTATCTGTCTGGAATGTTTTGATTTCTTTGATTTCACCTTTCAGCATTTTTACACTTATTTCTGTTTCCTCTACTTTTCTTGTCGTAAAACTGCTTTCTATGTCAGGTATTTGCACCAAAGCTCCATCACCTTCCACTACTATATCTACCTCTGCTTTTGGTAGCTTTGTCTTAGACAGTGAAATTTTGGGCATAATTAAATGAGGTCTTTTTACTTGACCTTTTTTGGTGGCTATGTCTACATTTCCATCAATATGAACTCCTTGATCTTCCGAAAGAGTTACTTTTAGTTCTGTGCCCATATCATCTGATACTATGCCAAGATGAGATTCTTCCAGAGGTTCTTTTATATTTGTTTTAAGGCTCGCTTCCTTTTTAGGGGACCAGCTCAATGAGGGCAATTTGAATTTAGGCATTTTGAAATGTCCTTTTTCTTCTCCATCTAAACTTCCTCTCTTAGTTATCTGTCCCTTAGCTTCCTTAGCTGCACCATGTAAATCCTGAGTGCTTACCTCTGACTGTGTGACAGAAATATCAACAGATGGTATGCCTACTGCTGCAGTCTTCACATCAGCTCTAATAATTTGGGGCATTTTTATTTTCTGTTCCAAAACATCCTTTTTTTCACCAAGTACATCAGACTCCATTTCAAATGTTGTAGCTTCCACTGCAATATCAATAATATCCGTTGTTGTTTTCAGCTGGGGAACATCAACGTCCTTGGACAGGCCTACAGCAATATCTGGAACTTTTCCTGTAGAAAATGAGATCCCAGAGTTAGCCATTTGAAATGTTACCTTTTAATTTTCTTATATACAACTTTAGGTTTTAATTTTAATTTCTGTTCCACTTACAAATATTTCAGTCTTTCTACTTTAATTCCCAATGCTTTCATTTTAGGAACCTTGATTCCTGCTACTGATTTATCATTTTTGTTATCGACATCATCTGGTTATAACTCTCATTTTAAAACTGACATTAAGTGAAGGAATTAAGACTGTAGGTAAACCGATTTCCATATCTACCCTGTTTCCCTGAAAATAAGACTCAACTGGAAAATAAACCCTAGCATGATTTTTCAGGATGCTCGTAATATAAGCCCTAGCCCCAAAATAAGCCCCAGTTAAGATCATCAGCCAGACAGATGCAATTAGTACCATATTTCCCCAAAAATAAGACCTAACCAGAAAATAAGCCCTAATGCAACTTTTGGAGCAAAAAATAATATAAGACCCAGTCTTATTTTTGGGGAAACACAGTACTGTAGAAGTTTTAATTGCTGGTCTAAAATGTTCTGTGCTTGGAACCTTAACTTTGGTCATTTTAATACTTTTTTTATATCATTGTCAATGATTTCTTTATCTAATGTTTCTTGTGAAATATTTTTTTCTTCCTTAGAAACAGACACTGTCATGTCATTATTCAGTGACAGAATACAGGTATTTCAGCTTTAAAACCTTTCATTTTTGGCAACTAGAATGAAGCCTTCTAATAGTCGTTTCCTGCATAGTCAGTTTTAATTAAAAATTAAAAAAAAAATGAATGCATTTTTATATCTGAAACACCTCACAATACTTCAGAGATTTCAGATGATCTGACATCTAAAATTTGCATCAGAAATATCTCAACCTTGCATACATTTTAATCTTTCCCTTTGAAGAGTCAGAAGAGTCAGCCTTTCTCTTAGCTGTGCTAAAATCAGAATCAGTTAATATACACTTTTAGCTCCTACATTTGAATACATGTAGACAATAAAGGTTAAGTCAAATCCAGCCCAACTCAGCCAGAATAATATTGCTAGTAGGCAAGTTTTAACTTTTGTTAGATTTAAAAGGAGCTATTTAAATCTTTGAGAAACCAAATTAGGTACATAAAAACTTAAACAAACTGGTATTTATTCTACCAACATGACAATGAGATTCCAAAATATCCATGTCAATACAGGAACTCCTGTGTCAGACCTTTCCAAACTACAGTAAGTTAATTCTGACAATTAAGTTCCTTCACACAAATAAAACTACATTTACAGTAGATTTAGCGTGATAGGAACAACTTGCAATTCTGGTCTTAATATTTCCTTCAGACAGAATATCAGTTTTGTAGGAAGAAAATGTTGCAAAAGAATAAAATAATACACTTAGGCGCTAAAATTAACTACATTTCTAAAGATTTCTCTAATGATCTAGAACTATTTTCAATGTTAGAATCCAACATGAAGATTTATATATACTATGAGATTAATAACTCATGAAATCAGCATTGCAATAAACAGCTGCTTTGAACACTTCTGTGTCTGTTAAAGGCAAGAAGACTTTTTCCTTTATTGCCATATTCCCATTAGAAGAGAAACGTCCCAAAGGTGCTTGAGATAACTATGACCTGGATGACTGAGAATCTCCATAGACATTAGAAGAGAAATTTCCAATTTTGGCATTTTCAACTTAACTCCCTCCACTTTCCATCTTAACCTTGTTTCCTGCCCCCCCTAAAACCTTTGCTAAATGGAGACTATACTTTTAAGTCAGGAGTTTTCAGTTCCACGATCACCTGGAATCTCTACATCAGATGCTGAAAAACTAATGCCAGTCCTGAATTCTAATATCTTCAACTGAGATTTGGTTGATGTCCAGGTTGACTTGGGCCCATTTCTGGTTTGGATAATTCCATGCTGGATATCTTGAACTTGGGCATGGGAATTTTCATTTCACTTCCCTCAATTATGCTTTCAGCCTCCACCACTAATATTGGCCTTGATTTTTTGGGGTGGGGAGAGGGGAATCTATTTTCCTTTGGGAAGGAAGATATTTGCCTCAGTTTATGACAGGGAGATCTTTACTTCTGGAGATTTCCGCTTGGGCACTTTGATGCTAGCCATCTTGATTCCAGACATTTTGCTTTCACCTTCCTCTCTTATCTCCATATCCAGGTTGGCCCCCTCAATTTCCACTTCTGGCAGTTTTTCAGCTTCAGGTTCATCAACTAGGATTCAGATAACGTGCTTTGGGGTGATCTGCTTCTATGGAAGGTAGGGACACTCGTCTCTGTGTAACACTTTTCCCCTTGGTAAGAAAAATTCCCAGCAAGGGCATTTGAACCTTTGAACTTACTACCCCACCACCAAGATCAAAAAATTTCCTCTGCACAAGAATCTTACCTGAAGAAGCTTGTACTTCTACGTCGGGAGCTTGCAGCTCCACAGTGACTGGGACCCATGGAATCTTTACTTCAGGGGCTGCTATTCTGATGTCACCCTCGAAATCATCTTTCTTGAGCTGGGGTTTTGTAGTGCTGACCTCAACTTTTGGAAGAGAGGTGTGTACATCAGGCATGCTGTCATCTGAATCTATTTTGGGGCCCTTGATATCAGATTTGGAGAATCCCATACTGGGCATCTTGAACTTTGGCATGTGTATTTTCATCCTGCCTTTCTCACGACTACCTTCTGCTTCCGCCACTTTGCTGGCAGCCTCAGAATCAGGCAGTTCAGCTTTACCTTTGGGAAGGGAGACATCTGCCTCAACGTTTTGAAGGGAGATGCCCACTTCTGGTGCAGTGAGCTTGGGGGGCTTGACACTAGGCAACTTCACTTCAGGCATTTTCATTTTGCCCACATCTCCAATCTCCACGTCCAAACTAGGGACATCTACCTCCACTTTTGGAAGCTTAAGATTGGCCTCAAGCTCAGCAGAGGGCAGTGTCACTTCCGATTTCAATGCTGTCTTTGGCAGCTCTGCTTCCACAGAAGGTACGCTGATTTCTGCCTCTGGGACACCTTTCCCTTTGGGCAGTGACATTCCAAATTTGGGCATATGGAACTTGGGCATTTGGAACTTTCTATCCCCACTTTCCAGCTTAACATCGGGGCCCTGCACAGAAATCTTTCCAGAAGGAGCCTCTACGTCTACTTCAGAAGCTTTCAATTCCAGGCCAGCTGAGCCAGTTGGAAACTTTACTTCTGGTGCTGATATGGTAATATCTCCTCCCTTCACCTCAGGTTTCTTGACGTGGAGCTCAACTTCGGGACGAGAAACATCCACTTTAGGCATACTGACATCCACATCGACTTTGGGGCCCTTGATGTCTGGTTTAGAGAATCCCATACTGGGCATTTTGAACTTTGGCATGTGTATCTTCAGTCCTCCCCCGTCGATAGTGCCTTCAGCCTCTGGCAATTTTACAGCCCCTGCACCATCAGACACTTCAGCTTTTCCTTTGGGAAGGGTGATGTCAGTCTCAACCGTTGGCAGGGAGATCCCTATTTCTGACCCTTTGAGCTTTGGGACCTTGATGCTAGGCACCTTCACTTCAGGCATTTTGATTTTACCCTTATCTCCAATCTCTACGTCCAAACTAGGGGCATCTACCTCCATTTTTGGAAGCTTAAGATCGGACTCAAGCTCAGCAGAAGGCAGTATCACTTCCCCTTCCAATTCTGTCTTGGGCAGGTCTGCTTCCATAGAAGGTACAGTGATTTCTGCCTCTGGGACACCTTTCCCTTTGGGCAGTGACATTCCAAATTTGGGCATATGGAACTTGGGCATTTGAACTTCCTATCCCCGCTTTCCAGCTTAACATGGGACCTGCATCTTTCCAGAAGGAGCTTCTACGTTCTACTTCGGGAGCTTTGAGTTCCAGGCTGGCTGAGCCCGTTGGAATCTTTACTTCTGGTGCTGGTATGGTAGTATCTCCTCCCTTCCCCTCAGGTTTCTCAATGTGGAGCTCAGCTTTGGGAACAGAAACGTCCACTTTAGGCATACTGACATCCACATCGACTTTGGGACCCTTGGTGTCTGGTTTAGAAAATCCTATGCTGGGCATCTTGAACTTTGGCTTGTGTATCTTCAGTCCTCCCCCTCGATGGTGCCTTCAGCCTCTGGCAATTTTATGCCCACTTCCGCATCAGGCACTTCAGCTTTTCCTTTAGGAAGGGTGACATCAGTCTCAACCTTTGGCAGGGAGATCCCTACTTCTGGTCCTTTGAGCTTGGGGACCTTCACACTAGGCATCTTCACTTCAGGCATTTTGATTTTGCCTTCATCTCCAATCTCCACGTCCAACCTAGGAGCATGTACCTCTACTTCTGGAAGCTTAAGATCAGTTTTAAGGTCCGCAGCGGGCAGTGTGACTTCCATTTTCAATGCTGTCTTCGGCAGTTCTCCTTCCACAGAAGGTATGCTGATTTCTGCCTCTGGGACACCTTTCCCCTTGGGCAGTGACATTCCAAATTTGGGCATATGGAACCTGGGCATTTGGAACTTCCTATCCCCGCTTTCCAGCTTAACATCAGGGCCCTGCAGAAATCTTTCCAGAAGGAGCCTCTACATCTACTTCGGGAGCTTTGAGTTCCAGGCTGGCTGAGCCTGTGGGAATCTTTACTTCTGGTGCTGATATGGTAATATCTCCTCCCTTCACTTCAGGTTTCTCAACGTGGAGCTCAGTTTTGGGAAGAGAAACATCCACTTTAGGCATACTGACATCCACATCGACTTTGGGGCCCTTGTTGTCTGGTTTAGAGAATCCCATGCTGGGCATCTTGAACTTTGGCTTGTGTATCTTCAGTCCTCCCCCATCGATAGTGCCTTCAGCCTCTGGCAATTTTATGCCCACTTCCGCATCAGGCACTTCAGCTTTTCCTTTAGGAAGGGTGACATCAGTCTCAACCTTTGGCATGGAGATCCCTACTTCTGGCCCTTTGAGCTTGGGGACCTTCACACTAGGCATCTTCACTTCTGGCATTTTGATTTTGCCCGCATCTCCAATTTCCACGTCCAAGCTAGGAGTATCTGCCTCTACTTCTGGAAGCTTAAGATCAGTTTTAAGGTCCGCAGCGGGCAGTGTGTGTTCCATTTTCAATGCTGTCTTGGGCAGTTCTCCTTCCACAGAAGGTATGCTGATTTCTGCCTCTGGGACACCTTTCCCCTTGGGCAGTGACATTCCAAATTTGGGCATATGGAACTTGGGCATTTGGAACTTCCTATCCCCGCTTTCCAGCTTAACATCGGGGCCCTGCACAGAAATCTTTCCAGAAGGAGCTTCTACATCTACTTGGAGCTTTGAGTTCCAGGCTGGTTGAGCCTGTGGGAATCTTTACTTCTGGTGCTGATATGGTAATATCTCCTCCCTTCACTTCAGGTTTCTCAATGTGGAGCTCAGTTTTGGGAAGAGAAACATCCACTTTAGGCATACTGACATCCACATCGACTTTGGGGCCCTTGATGTCTGGTTTAGAGAATCCCATGCTGGGCATCTTGAACTTTGGCTTGTGTATCTTCAGTCCTCCCCCATCGATAGTGCCTTCAGCCTCTGGCAATTTTATGCCCACTTCCGCATCAGGCACTTCAGCTTTTCCTTTAGGAAGGGTGACATCAGTCTCAACCTTTGGCATGGAGATCCCTACTTCTGGCCCTTTGAGCTTGGGGACCTTCACACTAGGCATCTTCACTTCTGGCATTTTGATTTTGCCCGCATCTCCAATTTCCACGTCCAAGCTAGGAGCATCTACCTCTACTTCTGGAAGCTTAAGATCAGTTTTAAGGTCCGCAGCAGGCAGTGTGACTTCCATTTTCAATGCTGTCTTGGGCAGTTCTCCTTCCACAGAAGGTACGCTGATTTCTGCCTCTGGGACACCTTTCCCCTTGGGCAGTGACATTCCAAATTTGGGCATATGGAACTTGGGCATTTGGAACTTCCTATCCCCGCTTTCCAGCTTAACATCGGGGCCCTGCACAGAAATCTTTCCAGAAGGAGCTTCTACATCTACTTCGGGAGCTTTGAGTTCCAGGCTGGCTGAGCCTGTGGGAATCTTTACTTCTGGTGCTGATATGGTAATATCTCCTCCCTTCACTTCAGGTTTCTCAACGTGGAGCTCTGTTTTGGAAGAGAAACATCCACTTTAGGCATACTGACATCCACATCGACTTTGGGGCCCTTGATGTCTGGTTTAGAGAATCCATGCTGGGCATCTTGAACTTTGGCTTGTGTATCTTCAGTCCTCCCCCATCGATAGTGCCTTCAGCCTCTGGCAATTTTATGCCCACTTCCGCATCAGGCACTTCAGCTTTTCCTTTAGGAAGGGTGACATCAGTCTCAACCTTTGGCATGGAGATCCCTACTTCTGGCCCTTTGAGCTTGGGGACCTTCACACTAGGCATCTTCACTTTGGGCATTTTGATTTTGCCCGCATCTCCAATCTCCACGTCCAAGCTAGGAGCATCTACCTCTACTTCTGGAAGCTTAAGATCAGTTTTAAGGTCCGCAGCAGGCAGTGTGACTTCCATTTTCAATGCTGTCTTGGGCAGTTCTCCTTCCACAGAAGGTACGCTGATTTCTGCCTCTGGGACACCTTTCCCCTTGGGCAGTGACATTCCAAATTTGGGCATATGGAACTTGGGCATTTGGAACTTCCTATCCCCACTTTCCAGCTTAACATCGGGGCCCTGCACAGAAATCTTTCCAGAAGGAGCTTCTACATCTACTTCGGGAGCTTTGAGTTCCAGGCTGGCTGAGCCTGTGGGAATCTTTACTTCTGGTGCTGATATGGTAATATCTCCTCCCTTCACTTCAGGTTTCTCAACGTGGAGCTCAGCTTTTGGAAGAGAAACGTCCACTTTAGGCATACTGACATCCACATCGACTTTGGGGCCCTTGATGTCTGGTTTAGAGAATCCCATGCTGGGCATCTTGAACTTTGGCTTGTGTATCTTCAGTCCTCCCATCGATGGTGCCTTCAGCCTCTGGCAATTTTATGCCCACTTCCGCATCAGGCACTTCAGCTTTTCCTTTAGGAAGGGTGACATCAGTCTCAACCTTTGGCATGGAGATCCCTACTTCTGGCACTTTGAGCTTGGGACCTTCACACTAGGCATCTTCACTTCGGGCATTTTGATTTTGCCCGCATCTCCAATCTCCACGTCCAAGCTAGGAGCATCTACCTCTACTTCTGGAAGCTTAAGATCAGTTTTAAGGTCCGCAGCGGGCAGTGTGACTTCCATTTTCAATGCTGTCTTGGGCAGTTCTCCTTCCACAGGAGGTACGCTGATTTCTGCCTCTGGGACACCTTTTCCTTTGGGCAGTGACATTCCAAATTTGGGCATATGGAACTTGGGCATTTGGAACTTCCTATCCCCGCTTTCCAGCTTAACATCGGGGCCCTGCACAGAAATCTTTCCAGAAGGAGCTTCTACATCTACTTCGGGAGCTTTGAGTTCCAGGCTGGCTGAGCCTGTGGGAATCTTTACTTCTGGTGCTGATATGGTAATATCTCCTCCCTTCACTTCAGGTTTCTCAATGTGGAGCTCAGTTTTGGGAAGAGAAACATCCACTTTAGGCATACTGACATCCACATCGACTTTGGGGCCCTTGATGTCTGGTTTAGAGAATCCCATGCTGGGCATCTTGAACTTTGGCTTGTGTATCTTCAGTCCTCCCCCATCGATAGTGCCTTCAGCCTCTGGCAATTTTATGCCCACTTCCGCATCAGGCACTTCAGCTTTTCCTTTAGGAAGGGTGACATCAGTCTCAACCTTTGGCATGGAGATCCCTACTTCTGGCCCTTTGAGCTTGGGGACCTTCACACTAGGCATCTTCACTTCAGGCATTTTGATTTTACCTGCATCTCCAATCTCCACGTCCAAGCTAGGAGCATCTGCCTCTACTTCTGGAAGCTTAAGATCAGTTTTAAGGTCCGCAGCGGGCAGTGTGACTTCCATTTTCAATGCTGTCTTCGGCAGTTCTCCTTCCACAGAAGGTACGCTGATTTCTGCCTCTGGGACACCTTTCCCCTTGGGCAGTGACATTCCAAATTTGGGCATATGGAACTTGGGCATTTGGAACTTCCTATCCCCGCATTTCCAGCTTAACATCGGGGCCCTGCACAGAAATCTTTCCAGAAGGAGCTTCTACATCTACTTCGGGAGCTTTGAGTTCCAGGCTGGCTGAGCCTGTGGGAATCTTTACTTCTGGTGCTGATATGGTAATATCTCCTCCCTTCACTTCAGGTTTCTCAACGTGGAGCTCAGTTTTGGGAAGAGAAACATCCACTTTTGGCATACTGACATCCACATCGACTTTGGGGCCCTTGATGTCTGGTTTAGAGAATCCCATGCTGGGCATCTTGAACTTTGGCTTGTGTATCTTCAGTCCTCCCCCATCGATAGTGCCCTCAGCCTCTGGCAATTTTATGCCCACTTCCGCATCAGGCACTTCAGCTTTTCCTTTAGGAAGGGTGACATCAGTCTCAACCTTTGGCATGGAGATCCCTACTTCTGGCCCTTTGAGCTTGGGGACCTTCACACTAGGCATCTTCACTTCGGGCATTTTGATTTTGCCCGCATCTCCAATCTCCACGTCCAAGCTAGGAGCATCTGCCTCTACTTCTGGAAGCTTAAGATCAGTTTTAAGGTCCGCAGCGGGCAGTGTGACTTCCATTTTCAATGCTGTCTTCGGCAGTTCTCCTTCCACAGAAGGTATGCTGATTTCTGCCTCTGGGACACCTTTCCCCTTGGGCAGTGACATTCCAAATTTGGGCATATGGAACTTGGGCATTTGGAACTTCCTATCCCCGCTTTCCAGCTTAACATCGGGGCCCTGCACAGAAATCTTTCCAGAAGGAGCTTCTACATCTACTTCGGGAGCTTTGAGTTCCAGGCTGGCTGAGCCTGTGGGAATCTTTACTTCTGGTGCTGATATGGTAATATCTCCTCCCTTCACTTCAGGTTTCTCAACGTGGAGCTCAGTTTTGGGAAGAGAAACATCCACTTTAGGCATACTGACATCCACATCGACTTTGGGGCCCTTGATGTCTGGTTTAGAGAATCCCATGCTGGGCATCTTGAACTTTGGCTTGTGTATCTTCAGTCCTCCCCCATCGATAGTGCCCTCAGCCTCTGGCAATTTTATGCCCACTTCCGCATCAGGCACTTCAGCTTTTCCTTTAGGAAGGGTGACATCAGTCTCAACCTTTGGCATGGAGATCCCTACTTCTGGCCCTTTGAGCTTGGGGACCTTCACACTAGGCATCTTCACTTCTGGCATTTTGATTTTGCCCGCATCTCCAATCTCCACGTCCAAGCTAGGAGCATCTGCCTCTACTTCTGGAAGCTTAAGATCAGTTTTAAGGTCCGCAGCAGGCAGTGTGACTTCCATTTTCAATGCTGTCTTGGGCAGTTCTCCTTCCACAGAAGGTACGCTGATTTCTGCCTCTGGGACACCTTTTCCCTTGGGCAGTGACATTCCAAATTTGGGCATATGGAACTTGGGCATTTGGAACTTCCTATCCCCGCTTTCCAGCTTAACATCGGGGCCCTGCACAGAAATCTTTCCAGAAGGAGCTTCTACATCTACTTCGGGAGCTTTGAGTTCCAGGCTGGCTGAGCCTGTGGGAATCTTTACTTCTGGTGCTGATATGGTAATATCTCCTCCCTTCACTTCAGGTTTCTCAACGTGGAGCTCAGTTTTGGGAAGAGAAACATCCACTTTAGGCATACTGACATCCACATCGACTTTGGGGCCCTTGATGTCTGGTTTAGAGAATCCCATGCTGGGCATCTTGAACTTTGGCTTGTGTATCTTCAGTCCTCCCCCATCGATAGTGCCTTCAGCCTCTGGCAATTTTATGCCCACTTCCGCATCAGGCACTTCAGCTTTTCCTTTAGGAAGGGTGACATCAGTCTCAACCTTTGGCATGGAGATCCCTACTTCTGGCCCTTTGAGCTTGGGGACCTTCACACTAGGCATCTTCACTTCAGGCATTTTGATTTTACCCGCATCTCCAATCTCCACGTCCAAGCTAGGAGCATCTGCCTCTACTTCTGGAAGCTTAAGATCAGTTTTAAGGTCCGCAGCAGGCAGTGTGACTTCCATTTTCAATGCTGTCTTCGGCAGTTCTCCTTCCACAGAAGGTACGCTGATTTCTGCCTCTGGGACACCTTTCCCCTTGGGCAGTGACATTCCAAATTTGGGCATATGGAACTTGGGCATTTGGAACTTCCTATCCCCGCTTTCCAGCTTAACATCGGGGCCCTGCACAGAAATCTTTCCAGAAGGAGCTTCTACATCTACTTCGGGAGCTTTGAGTTCCAGGCTGGCTGAGCCTGTGGGAATCTTTACTTCTGGTGCTGATATGGTAATATCTCCTCCCTTCACTTCAGGTTTCTCAACGTGGAGCTCAGTTTTGGGAAGAGAAACATCCACTTTAGGCATACTGACATCCACATCGACTTTGGGGCCCTTGATGTCTGGTTTAGAGAATCCCATGCTGGGCATCTTGAACTTTGGCTTGTGTATCTTCAGTCCTCCCCCATCGATAGTGCCCTCAGCCTCTGGCAATTTTATGCCCACTTCCGCATCAGGCACTTCAGCTTTTCCTTTAGGAAGGGTGACATCAGTCTCAACCTTTGGCATGGAGATCCCTACTTCTGGCCCTTTGAGCTTGGGGACCTTCACACTAGGCATCTTCACTTCGGGCATTTTGATTTTGCCCGCATCTCCAATCTCCACGTCCAAGCTAGGAGCATCTGCCTCTACTTCTGGAAGCTTAAGATCAGTTTTAAGGTCCGCAGCAGGCAGTGTGACTTCCATTTTCAATGCTGTCTTCGGCAGTTCTCCTTCCACAGAAGGTACGCTGATTTCTGCCTCTGGGACACCTTTCCCCTTGGGCAGTGACATTCCAAATTTGGGCATATGGAACTTGGGCATTTGGAACTTCCTATCCCCGCTTTCAGCTTAACATCGGGGCCCTGCACAGAAATCTTTCCAGAAGGAGCCTCTACATCTACTTCGGGAGCTTTGAGTTCCAGGCTGGCTGAGCCTGTGGGAATCTTTACTTCTGGTGCTGATATGGTAATATCTCCTCCCTTCACTTCAGGTTTCTCAACGTGGAGCTCAGTTTGGGAAAAGAAACATCCACTTTAGGCATACTGACATCCACATCGACTTTGGGGCCCTTGATGTCTGGTTTAGAGAATCCCATGCTGGGCATCTTGAACTTTGGCTTGTGTATCTTCAGTCCTCCCCCATCGATAGTGCCCTCAGCCTCTGGCAATTTTATGCCCACTTCCGCATCAGGCACTTCAGCTTTTCCTTTAGGAAGGGTGACATCAGTCTCAACCTTTGGCATGGAGATCCCTACTTCTGGCCCTTTGAGCTTGGGGACCTTCACACTAGGCATCTTCACTTCGGGCATTTTGATTTTGCCTGCATCTCCAATCTCCACGTCCAAGCTAGGAGCATCTGCCTCTACTTCTGGAAGCTTAAGATCAGTTTTAAGGTCCGCAGCGGGCAGTGTGACTTCCATTTTCAATGCTGTCTTCGGCAGTTCTCCTTCCACAGAAGGTATGCTGATTTCTGCCTCTGGGACACCTTTCCCCTTGGGCAGTGACATTCCAAATTTGGGCATATGGAACTTGGGCATTTGGAACTTCCTATCCCCGCTTTCCAGCTTAACATCGGGCCCTGCACAGAAATCTTTCCAGAAGGAGCTTCTACATCTACTTCGGGAGCTTTGAGTTCCAGGCTGGCTGAGCCTGTGGGAATCTTTACTTCTGGTGCTGATATGGTAATATCTCCTCCCTTCACTTCAGGTTTCTCAACGTGGAGCTCAGTTTTGGGAAGAGAAACATCCACTTTAGGCATACTGACATCCACATCGACTTTGGGGCCCTTGATGTCTGGTTTAGAGAATCCCATGCTGGGCATCTTGAACTTTGGCTTGTGTATCTTCAGTCCTCCCCCATCGATAGTGCCCTCAGCCTCTGGCAATTTTATGCCCACTTCCGCATCAGGCACTTCAGCTTTTCCTTTAGGAAGGGTGACATCAGTCTCAACCTTTGGCATGGAGATCCCTACTTCTGGCCCTTTGAGCTTGGGGACCTTCACACTAGGCATCTTCACTTCTGGCATTTTGATTTTGCCCGCATCTCCAATCTCCACGTCCAAGCTAGGAGCATCTGCCTCTACTTCTGGAAGCTTAAGATCAGTTTTAAGGTCCGCAGCAGGCAGTGTGACTTCCATTTTCAATGCTGTCTTGGGCAGTTCTCCTTCCACAGAAGGTCCGCTGATTTCTGCCTCTGGGACACCTTTCCCCTTGGGCAGTGACATTCCAAATTTGGGCATATGGAACTTGGGCATTTGGAACTTCCTATCCCCGCTTTCCAGCTTAACATCGGGGCCCTGCACAGAAATCTTTCCAGAAGGAGCCTCTACATCTACTTCGGGAGCTTTGAGTTCCAGGCTGGCTGAGCCTGTGGGAATCTTTACTTCTGGTGCTGATATGGTAATATCTCCTCCCTTCACTTCAGGTTTCTCAACGTGGAGCTCAGTTTTGGGAAGAGAAACATCCACTTTAGGCATACTGACATCCACATCGACTTTGGGGCCCTTGATGTCTGGTTTAGAGAATCCCATGCTGGGCATCTTGAACTTTGGCTTGTGTATCTTCAGTCCTCCCCCATCGATAGTGCCCTCAGCCTCTGGCAATTTTATGCCCACTTCCGCATCAGGCACTTCAGCTTTTCCTTTAGGAAGGGTGACATCAGTCTCAACCTTTGGCATGGAGATCCCTACTTCTGGCCCTTTGAGCTTGGGGACCTTCACACTAGGCATCTTCACTTCTGGCATTTTGATTTTGCCGCATCTCCAATCTCCACGTCCAAGCTAGGAGCATCTGCCTCTACTTCTGGAAGCTTAAGATCAGTTTTAAGGTCCGCAGCAGGCAGTGTGACTTCCATTTTCAATGCTGTCTTGGGCAGTTCTCCTTCCACAGAAGGTCCGCTGATTTCTGCCTCTGGGACACCTTTCCCCTTGGGCAGTGACATTCCAAATTTGGGCATATGGAACTTGGGCATTTGGAACTTCCTATCCCCGCTTTCCAGCTTAACATCAGGGCCCTGCACAGAAATCTTTCCAGAAGGAGCCTCTACATCTACTTCGGGAGCTTTGAGTTCCAGGCTGGCTGAGCCTGTGGGAATCTTTACTTCTGGTGCTGATATGGTAATATCTCCTCCCTTCACTTCAGGTTTCTCAACGTGGAGCTCAGTTTTGGGAAGAGAAACATCCACTTTAGGCATACTGACATCCACATCGACTTTGGGGCCCTTGATGTCTGGTTTAGAGAATCCCATGCTGGGCATCTTGAACTTTGGCTTGTGTATCTTCAGTCCTCCCCCATCGATAGTGCCCTCAGCCTCTGGCAATTTTATGCCCACTTCCGCATCAGGCACTTCAGCTTTTCCTTTAGGAAGGGTGACATCAGTCTCAACCTTTGGCATGGAGATCCCTACTTCTGGCCCTTTGAGCTTGGGGACCTTCACACTAGGCATCTTCACTTCGGGCATTTTGATTTTGCCCACATCTCCAATCTCCACGTCCAAGCTAGGAGCATCTGCCTCTACTTCTGGAAGCTTAAGATCAGTTTTAAGGTCCGCAGCAGGCAGTGTGACTTCCATTTTCAATGCTGTCTTCGGCAGTTCTCCTTCCACAGAAGGTATGCTGATTTCTGCCTCTGGGACACCTTTCCCCTTGGGCAGTGACATTCCAAATTTGGGCATATGGAACTTGGGCATTTGGAACTTCCTATCCCCGCTTTCCAGCTTAACATCGGGCCCTGCACAGAAATCTTTCCAGAAGGAGCTTCTACATCTACTTCGGGAGCTTTGAGTTCCAGGCTGGCTGAGCCTGTGGGAATCTTTACTTCTGGTGCTGATATGGTAATATCTCCTTCCTTCACTTCAGGTTTCTCAACGTGGAGCTCAGTTTTGGGAAGAGAAACATCCACTTTAGGCATACTGACATCCACATCGACTTTGGGGCCCTTGATGTCTGGTTTAGAGAATCCCATGCTGGGCATCTTGAACTTTGGCTTGTGTATCTTCAGTCCTCCCCCATCGATAGTGCCTTCAGCCTCTGGCAATTTTATGCCCACTTCCGCATCAGGCACTTCAGCTTTTCCTTTAGGAAGGGTGACATCAGTCTCAACCTTTGGCATGGAGATCCCTACTTCTGGCCCTTTGAGCTTGGGGACCTTCACACTAGGCATCTTCACTTCTGGCATTTTGATTTTGCCCGCATCTCCAATCTCCACGTCCAAGCTAGGAGCATCTGCCTCTACTTCTGGAAGCTTAAGATCAGTTTTAAGGTCCGCAGCAGGCAGTGTGACTTCCATTTTCAATGCTGTCTTGGGCAGTTCTCCTTCCACAGAAGGTCCGCTGATTTCTGCCTCTGGGACACCTTTCCCCTTGGGCAGTGACATTCCAAATTTGGGCATATGGAACTTGGGCATTTGGAACTTCCTATCCCCGCTTTCCAGCTTAACATCGGGGCCCTGCACAGAAATCTTTCCAGAAGGAGCCTCTACATCTACTTCGGGAGCTTTGAGTTCCAGGCTGGCTGAGCCTGTGGGAATCTTTACTTCTGGTGCTGATATGGTAATATCTCCTCCCTTCACTTCCGGTTTCTCAACCTGGAGCTCAGCTTTGGGAAGAGAAACGTCCACTTTAGGCATACTGACATCCACATCAACTTTGGGGCCCTTGATGTCTGGTTTAGAGAATCCCATGCTGGGCATCTTGAACTTTGGCTTGTGTATCTTCAGTCCTCCCCCATCGATGGTGCCTTCAGCCTCTGGCAATTTTATGCCCACTTCCGCATCAGGCACTTCAGCTTTTCCTTTAGGAAGGGTGACATCAGTCTCAACCTTTGGCAGGGAGATCCCTACTTCTGGCCCTTTTAGTTTGGGGACCTTCACACTAGGTATCTTCACTTCAGGCATTTTGATTTTGCCCGCATCTCCAATCTCCACGTCCAAGCTAGGAGCATCTACCTCTATTTCTGGAAGCTTAAGATCAGTTTTAAGGTCCGCAGCGGGCAGTGTGACTTCCATTTTCAATGCTGTCTTGGGCAGTTCTTCTTCCACAGAAGATACGCTGATTTCTGCCTCTGGGACATCTTTCCCTTTGGGCAATGAAATTCCAAATTTGGGCATTCGGAATTTTGAAATTTTGAATGTAGTATCCTCTCTTTCAAGCATAACATCAGGACCCTGCAGAAAAAACCTTACTTGATGGAGTTTCTGTGTCTACCTCCGGAGCTTTAAATTCCTGGCTGGCTGAGCCTGTTGGAATCTTTAGTTTTAGTGCTGATATAGTAATATCTCCCTTCACATCTGTCGTTTGTCAGCATGGAGCTCAGCTTCAGGAAGACAAATGTCGACCTTAGGCCTACTGACATCCACATCGACTTTGGGGCCTTTGATGTCTGGTTTGGAGAATCCCATACTGGGCATCTTGAACTTTGGCATGTGTATCTTCAGTCTTCCCCCGTCGATGGTGCCTTCAGCCTCTGGCAATTTTACAACCGCTGCTCCATCAGACATTTTTCCTTTGGGAAGGGAGACATCTGCTTCAACTTTTGGTAGGGAGATCCCTACTTCTGGCCCTTTGAGCTTGGGAACCTTGATACTAGGCATCTTCAATCCAGGCATTTTGATTTTGCCATCATATTCAACTTCCATATCCACGCTGGGGTCCACTACTTCCATATCTGGGACTTTAATGTCACTTTGTAACCCTACAGAGGGCACTGTGACTTCTGTTTCCAGTTCTGTTTGGGTGAGGTCCACTTCCATAGATGATACAGTGACTTCTTCCTCTGGGATACCTTTCCCTTGGGACACTGAAATTCCAAACTTGGGCATATGGAACTTGGGAATTTTGAATGTAGTTTCTCCCCTTTCCAGCTTAACATCAGGGCCCTGCACAGAAATCTTTCCAGAAGGAGCCTCTACATCTACTTCGGGAGCTTTGAGTTCCAGGCTGGCTGAGCCTGTGGGAATCTTTACTTCTGGTGCTGATATGGTTATGTCTCTTCCCTTCACTTCAGGTTTCTCAATGTGGAGCTCAGCTTCAGGAATAGAAAATTTAGGCATACTGACATCCACATCGACCTTTGGGGCCCTTGATGTCTGGTTTAGAGAATCCCATGCTGGGCATCCTGAACTTTGGCATATGCATTTTCAGTCCTCCCCCATCGATGGTGCCTTCAGCCTCTGGCAATTTTACAGTTGCTGCCGCATCAGACACTTTTCCTTTGGGAAGGGTGACATCAGTCTCAACCTTTGGCAGGGAGATCCCTACTTCTGGCCCTTTGAGCTTGGGGACCGTCATGCTAGGCATCTTCACTTCGGGCATTTTGATTTTGCCTGCATCTCCAATCTCCACGTCCAATCTAGGGGCAGCTACCTCCACTTTTGGAAGCTTAAAATCGGTTTCAAGCTCAGCAGAGGGCAGGGTCACTTCTGCTTTCAATGCTGTCTTTTGAAGCTCTGCTTCCATAGAGGGTACGCTGATTTCTGCCTCTGGGACACCTTTCCCTTTGGGCAGTGACATTCCAAATTTGGGCATATGGAACTTGGGCATTTGGAACTTCCTCTCCCCACTTTCCAGCTTAACATCGGGGCCCTGCACAGAAACCTTTCCAGAAGGAGCTTCTACATCTACTTCGGGAGCTTTGAGTTCCAGGCTGGCTGAGCCTGTGGGAATCTTTACTTCTGGTGCTGATATGGTAATATCTCCTCCCGTCACCTCAGGTTTCTCAATGTGGAGCTCAGCTTCGGGAAGAGAAACTTTAGGTATACTGACATCTACATCGACTTTGGGGCCCTTGATGTCTGGTTTGGAGAATCCCATGCTGGGCATCCTGAACTTTGGCATATGTATCTTCAGTCCTCCCCCGTCGATGGTGCCTTCAGCCTCTGGCAATTTTATGCCCACTTCCGCATCAGGCACTTCAGCTTTTCCTTTAGGAAGGGTGACATCAGTCTCAACCTTTGGCAGGGAGATCCCTACTTCTGGCCCTTTGAGCTTGGGGACCTTTACGCTAGGCATCTTCACTTCAGGCATTTTGATTTTGCCTGCATCTCCAATCTCCACGTCCAAGCTAGAAGCATCTACCTCTACTTCTGGAAGCTTAAGATCGGTCTTAAACTCAGCTGAGGGCAGTGTCACGTCTGCTTTCAATTCTGTCTTGGGCAGGTCTGCTTCCATAGAAGGTACGCTGATTTCTGCCTCTGCGATACCTTTCCCTTTGGGCAGTGAAATTCCAAATTTGGGTATATGGAACTTGGGCATTTGGAACTTCCTATCCCCGCTTTCCAGCTTAACATCGGGGCCCTGCATAGAAATCTTTCCAGAAGGAGCTTCTACATCTACTTCGGGAGCTTTGAGTTCCAGGCTGGCTGAGCCTGTGGGAATCTTTACTTCTGGTGCTGATATGGTAATATCTCCTCCTTTCACTTCAGGTTTCTCAACGTGGAGCTCAGCTTTGGGAAGAGAAACGTCCACTTTAGGCATACTGACATCCACATCAACTTTAGGGCTCTTGATGTCTGGTTTAGAGAATCCCATGCTGGGCATCTTGAACTTTGGCTTGTGTATCTTCAGTCCTCCCCCATCGATGGTGCCTTCAGCCTCTGGCAATTTTATGGCTGCTGAAGCATCAGACATTTCAGCTTTGGGAAGGGTGACATCAGCTTCCACCTTTGGCAGGAAGATCCCTTCTTCTGGTGCTTTGAGTTTGGCGACCTTTACGCTAGGCATCTTCAGTGCAGGCATTTTGATTTTGCTCTTCTCTCCTATCTCCACATCCAGATTGGGGGCCTTTATCTCCACTTCTGTCAACTTAATGTCAGCTTCAATCTCTGCAGTTTTGAGTTCCGTTTTCAGTCCAGTTTTGGGGAAGTCTGTTTCCATGGAAGATATGGAAAGTTCTCCCTGTGGAATACCTTTTTCTTTGGGAAGTGATATCCCAAATATGGGCATTTGCAATTTTAACATTTTGAACTTAGTTTCGTCATCTTCCAGTGTAATGGCTGAGCCATCTGCAGGAATTTCATCTTGGTCTGTTGTTTTCAATTCCAAAATTCCCTGGCCTGCTGTTGACTTTATGTCAAATTCTGAAATGATTATATCAGCAGTAATTTCTCCCATCTTAAGCTCAGGTTTGGTAGCCTTATGGTCAGCTTTGGGAATGGAGAAATCCATTTTAGGTATTTTGATGTCCATCTCAACTTTGGAAGCTTCAGTTTGTGGCAAGGCATACTTGCTAGCAATATTTATTTCTTTTCCTTTTTCCTCTTTCTGATATTGGGTTTCAATTTGTACTTTTGAATCTTTTTGCTTTTTTTTCCTCATTTTTGGTATATTTTGTGAAACTTTGATCTGAGAGTCTGTAATGTCTTTTGTTTGAATTACTGCTGTTTTCATCTGTGTTGTTGTAACTGTAGGTTCTTGTTTTGTAAATTCTATATTGGTTTTTAATTTCTTCTCTTTGGATTTTGTAAGAGTTAGTTCAACATCAGGATATTTTCTTGTATGTTGTGGAAGTGGAAATACTGCATCTGATACATCTCTTTTTGGCTCTTTTTCTTTTGGTTTTCTATCTACATCTAATGAAGTATACTCTCTTGTCATTATATCTGAGAGTTCCACAGCAGTACCATCTTCATATTCTTTGAATGGATTTATTTCATATGGTTCTTGTTTACTTTTGTGCATCTTAAATCCAATAGTTGGAAACTTTAGTTTCTTTTGGCTTTGTTTTTTAATTTTTCCATGAATTTCTTCTGGCTGGAATTGTGATTCTGTATCTGTGCTTGTAGGAGAAACATCTGGAATTCCATGTTCATATGCATCTGATGTACTTCGAGATCTTCTGTGTCCCAAAATCTTCTTTCCCTTAATGGACTGGAATTTTGGCCACGAGAGTCTATCCTTTTTGGTTCTTTTTGGTCTTCCCACTCTTTGTTTTACAATTAAGTTTGTTTTATCTCCCTCTGAGATTGTCTTCTCCGATATTTCCATTGTATCCATTCCCTGGGGAGAAAAATTCTAAAATGAATATGTTTGTTTAGGAAAAAATATATATAGAGTATTATTTATATCATTTTATTTTTTGATTATAAGGTTTAGGTAAAGGTAAAGGTTTCTCTCGCACATATATGCTAGTTGTTCCCAACTCTAGGGGCCAGTGCTCATCTCTGTTTCAAAGCCGAAGAGCCAGCGCTGTCTGAAGACATCTCCGTGGTCATGTGGCCAGCATAACTAAATGCCAAAGGCGCACAGAATGCTGTTACCTTCCCACCAAAGGTAGTCCCTATTTTTCTACTTGCATTTTTCATGTGCTTTTGAACTGCTAGGTTGGCAGAAGCTGGGACAAGTAACAGGAGCTCACCCCGTTACGTGGCATTAGGGATTTGAACTGCTGAACTGCCGACCTTTCGATCAATAAGCTCAGCGTCTTAGCCACTGAGCCACCATGTCCCATTAATTACAAGGATTATAGTATGCCATAATCAACTCCCCAAAAATATAATTTGAATTAAAATAAATACCATTTGTGCAAACAATTATGGGCATCAGGAATAAAATATTTTTTAAAAAATATGATTTAAAAATTTGCTTATCCAGAAAGATCTTTCATCTGAGGCTTGGTAAAATACTACCAACTACTGTCTTTCTGAAGATCACATTGGAAAGGCCCATCCAAATATCTGGTAGAATAATATTCCAGAGAAGGCCCTCTGATTAATGATTAAGGGCATGCTTCTGTAGCATCCGTAGATACAAGACCTCTCTACTAGATGTTCTTAGGTGGGCAGCTAACATCCAGGCCCTGAACCATGAAGGTGACATCATCCAGGTCATGAATCATTAAAGGTGACAACCAGAAACTTGAATTGCATCTGGAAGCCAACTGGCAATTGGTGCAGTGGTATCAGTATCAGTACTATATGGGGAATGCTTTTTTCACTTTTTAATTAATTTTAGAAGTGTTTTATCATCCTTGTCTCTTTCCCAATTTTCTAACTTTTATATACCATTTTTAACTTTTAATATTTCATTGTACACAGTCCAGAGTTTCTTTCTGAGGGAGATGGGCGGTTCAGAAATGTGGAAAATCAATGAAAAATCAATCAATCATCAACCACACTTAAGATATGACCCAGACTTTGAAGGAGCATTTGGACATTATCACTTAAGGGTATACTCACTTTTGTTGGCACCAGTTTAGACATTAATGGCTGTGTGTTGTGTTGTTTTGAGGGGACAGCACATTTACACTGTTATACAAGCTGTATACTCACTACTTTACATTGTAGCCAAGTGTCATTTCTTCAGTGTTGTCACATGAAAAGATATACTTAAATATTTATAAAATGTGAGGAGGTGTACTCACTTCTGTGATATACTGTATACTGTAACTGTACCAACGTTATATAGAAATATTCACAATAGAGGACTGGACTGTGAATATTATAGAACTTGCAAAATTGATTTCTTTTATTAGGAAAGGGCTAATTACGCCTTTTATAAAAGACTGGAAATTCTTTATAGAGTTTTTGCTGAAAATGCATAAAAATGAAATGGTAAATTCTAGATTTACTGATTAAAAAGGGCTATATATGAGAAGGGAACTATGTTATTTATTTTATTTATTTATTTTATTTTTAAATTTATATACCGCCCTTCTCCCTGAGGACTCAGGGCGGTGTACAGCCAGAGTTAAAAAAAACATGAAATACAAATATTAAAAAACAATTAAAATAAATATAAATTTGGCCCAAAATTAAAAATACAAACCAGTTAAAACATTTAAAATTTCTTCTTAAGCCAGCCCGGCTTGCTGGAAAAAGTGGGTTTTAAGGGCACGGCGGAAGGCACTAAGGTCTTGGATTCTCCTTATCTCTGGGGGCAACTGATTCCAGAGGGTAGGTGCCCCCACAGAGAAGGCCCTCCCCCTGGGGGTCACTAGCCTACATGTTATTTTGTTAACATAATAACATATTATGTTATTTTGAAAGCGGGAAATGGTACCAGATATTACTATAACTATTGTAAAAAAAGATTGGAAGTCACTTCTTTAAGTTATCTCTCCCCCCCCATTTTTTTCTTAGCTTTCTACTGCTTGTAACACTTTTTTCTTCGTCTTTATTCCTTTCCAACCCTTCTTCAATACTTTTTCATGCTTATCTTTTATCTTTGTAAAAATTCTTCAATAATTCTTTGGACATATTATGCAGCTGGAATTGTGTAAATTCAATTTCTGATCACAGACTCTATTACTTTCCATAGGTAGTACTAACGATTGCTGTAATGTGTTTTTATAAAAAATTATTTTGTACAATTATTCTTTCTTTGTTAAATTTATATTGAGACTTGAGTTTCCTTACTTACAAATAACTCCTGAGCAGAAAAGCAGCAGATCAAGAGCAAACGGAGTGGGTTTAGATTAGTTACTTTTTCTCATCTAAATTTTAGGGATACAGTGCTAAGAAGAAAATCACAATTGATTCAAACAATTAAAATAATTTATATAAGAAATTCTCCATGCAGCCTAACTTTGGAAAACACTGTATTTTTGTTGTACTTATTCTAGAGAAGAACCATCTGTCCTCAAAATTTTGCCTCAAAATTTTATTTTATGTGGGTAAGTGGGGAAACTTTTTAAAAAGTTCTAAAATTACTTCACTAACGGCTAGATTTTCATGATGTACAGCTTAATCCATAGTATAATTCAAGAACAATATATTACCTGACTTAATTTTTCCTTTTTGGACTGTGTTGCAGAATGCATTGCTTCCAGCTCATCTTTCCCAACAAGTTTTCTTTTAAGATTGAACTGTATTTTGTATGGTTCAGAATACTGTAGTATTTTAAGTGCATCTTCATATTTGATATTATCAAAAAAGATTGTGGCACTCAACAGTTGATCTCCTAGAAAACAGAAACAAGGCTTTCAGACTATCAGATAAATCCCTCAGTTCCTTGTCTGAATTTGCAAAGTATACCACTTTTTATTCACTTTTTAGAAGTATAAACAGGTTGTCCTCAATTTACAAGCATAACCGAGCCCGGAATTATGGTTGTAAATTACACTGGTCATTATGCAGGTCATCAAGTGACCATACCCAATTTTACAGTCTTTTCTGTTGTGATCATTAAGTGAACGTGGCAATCATAAAGTGAACACTGCAGTTGGCAAAAAAGCACAGTAAACTGCAGTCATGTGACTGCAAGATGCTGCAAATGGCCATATAGAACAGTTGCTGAGCGCTTAAGATGCAATCACATGACGGGGGGGGGAAGCAATAATCAGACCTTCAAATTTAAGCCATATGTACCTTTTTGGGGGTCCATTATAACTTTGATCCGGTTGTAAGTCGAGGACTACTTGTTCTACTTTGTCCCTGCCCTGCAGCATGTTCATCATTCAATAGGTATGCATACTTTCTAAAAAGTACTGTATGGTTATTACTTTTTGTAATGTATGCTTTAAAGATATGACCATTTTCTTAGTTAATGGTTTTAAGAGAAAATATAATACAAGAGCAATACTGTACCTTCTCTTAGACTAAATAGGTTTGATGCTGGGGACTCCTTGAGCACTTGCTTCACAAATATTCCTTCGGCTCCCCCACCAGCTACACTGAATCCACTTGCACCAGATTCCACTTCCGTTTGTAATGTCACTTCCATAGATTCCTAGTCGTTCCAAAAGGTATGCCATTAAATCTCATCTCTAAATTAGTTCATTCTTCTATTCATTTATATCATGATGTCACTCACACTGTCATTAATATAATCCTAACCTTGACTGTACTACATTGCCAGAAATAGCACATATTAAATTTACTAAAAAGCCACAAACATTTCCTGGCACCAAAAAACAAGCAAAATTATAAAACAGATAACAAGGTTTCTTTAGAGATTAGATTTATTATCAGCTTGCTGGATGAGTAATCCTATACCACAAGATCAGAATGTAGGATTTGACAAGAAAGTATTTGTATTTATTAATGATCCATGACAGCCAGATAAAGATTTTTGGAAGATATAAACACCGGCTCTCTGGTATTTTTGGAATGGAAGACAAGTGATTTTAAATGAGAATTAAACAGTCAGCAATGATAAAATATCTAACCAGATAAAATCTTCCATTTAAAATGTCTACACTTAATATTATACATATGTATGAATATTTTTCAAAAGCCACATGTTCCTCAGAAAAAGAAAAAACCCTGAGAACACTGATCTTCATTCCTCTGGGTCTTATGACAATACAATTTACAGTCATCAGCAACTCATAAAATTATAAAATATATTAATTGAACAGGATTGTATTGATTTGCCTTCTCTTCCATGTAATAAGCTTTTAGGTACCTGCATTACTCCTTAGTTTTCTTTCCCCCCCCAGCTAATTATACCCAACTCCTTGATTTCTTTATTCATTTCTCATACAGTTTGCCTTCCAAGCTTTCCATTGTTTCCCAGTCTGGTATCTTTTCTCTCAACCTACTCCAGTTTCTCCATATCCTTTTTTTAGGGGTGAGTGGGGGACATATGGCCTGACCAAAGAAATATTACTTCCTGTAATTTAGGTGCAATATTTCTGCTAAAGCAGAACAAGACTGCATTGAGCATTTTAGCAGTTGCATAATTCTGCTTTTTCAACTAGTACTTATTTCTCACATTCCTTAATTTCTAGTACTTAATTTTGAAAAATACTAGGGTAATATAATTGTCTACTTAAAAACAGAACATTAATGACTTCTTCAAGATGGGGTTTTGTCTTCTACAGAACCTAATTTTATAATCATAGTACTTTAATTCTTCCTTCCTTCCTTCCTTCCTTCCTTCCCTCCCTCACTCACTCACTCATTCATTTTCATTTAGTAAAATGAATTTATTTAGGACATCAGTGGCTATAATTTGACTTCAGCCACTTGCAAATCCTGTTTATTTACATTGGTATTCAATTATAAATAAATCAGGTATCAAAGTAACTTGAATAAACATTGTCGAAAAATATGCATACTAATCTTCCCACAGAATTTGATTCCCAGTCCTGCATTATTTCAAATAGATCAGTGCCAGAAAACTACAAGTGGTCTACTGGACTTAGTCACACATGCTAAGATATAAAATGTGATTGGAGAGCCCAAATTTAAAAGGGTTTAAAAGGATTTAAAAGGACTTGTTTAACTGTTCAAGGGTCAGCTAGTTTACCAACTTGAATTAAAGAGCTCTTATGCTACCAATTGGTCTCTAGATAGGTTTGGGGAAAAATTATGTTCAATATTTGTCTCCTTTAAAACAGAACAGAAACAGAAATGTTTCTCAATGATATATGTCAACTACAGGTAGTCCTCAACTTATGACAATAGAGACCCAAATTTCTGTTGCTAAGTGTGACAATTGTTAAGTGGTTTTCCACCATTTTATGACCTTTCTTGCCACAGTTGTTAAATGAATCAGTTTTTAAATTAGTAACATGGTTGTTAAGTAAATCTGGCTTCCCCATTGACTTTGCTTGTCAAAAGTCAAAAAAGGTGATCACATGATTCTGGCACACTGCAACCATCATAAATATGAGTCAGTTGCCAAGCACCCAGATTTTTATTGCATGACCGTGGGGATGCTGCGATAGTCATAAATATGAAAAACGGTCATAACTCACTTTTTTCAGTGCCATTGTAACTTCGAATGGTCAGTAAACAAATGGTTGTAAATCGAAGCCTACTTGTATAATAGTAGTGTAGTGAATTATCAAAGGGCATCTATGCATAATTTCCAGCAGGATTATTGGCATTTATCAGAAATGATATCCCTTCTTGGAACAGGACTGCATCTGTAGCAAATCAGTTGTTTGCCAGTTTGGATAGTTCCAATCACTTATTTGATGTAAAGGACCAATTCTAGTTGCAGTAGTGCTATCAGTGCTGATTGGGCCAATCATTTGCTGTGAATGTGTTCAGGGCTGTGTGTGCAGAAGCATTAACAAAATGCAGAATGTTATAGTGGGTACAGAATTCATACAACTTGCTTATTTTAAAATTATGCTGGAGTGATAGAATATTAGTGTGATTATGTAATAGTGTAGTGACATGTCAGTTTCAGAAGTTCAGTTCAATTACAAAAAGTGACTGAGTGAAAAGTTCACATTTTTAAACATCTGTACCTATCTAATGCAAGTAAAAAAATAAATTGTCATCTAATGAGACCCAGGATTTTCAAGAATTCTAGCACAGTGCTTTCCTATATTGAAAGTCACACCTGAAGCTTAACATGTACTTAATCTCACCTGTGAATCACTCATTTTGAAGGTGGAGTCTCTTCTTTGTCTGTTCTCTATATCTTGCTGAAGCTGGAAATAAACATGCAATCTTTAATGCTTAGTTGTATGACATCAACTGTGAAGGGGGTATGGACTAAAGGAAGATGCCTCAGAAATCCATATATCTTAGATGGTAGCATAGTTCCACTGACAATGTTTGGATAAAATGTCATCAGAGCATTGGACAGAAATCAGCCTAGCAAGAGGGGGTGGTAAGAATGATATCATGCCACAAATAGCAGAACTGGCCTCCAAGGAGAATGGTGGAGTGGACTGTGAAGTGCAGTAGAACCATAATTAATTCCATAACTTTGGTCACAACCCAATTTGGTCGTGACCTGAACCTAATTTTGGAAATTTCGCACTTACAAAAAAAAAAAAATGGTGCAGAAGGGGAAATCGGCCACAAAATAATTTTTTGGGTGAAGTTTTTGGTCGGAACCCGATTTGGTCGTGGTCAGAAACATTCGTGACCATGTATACAGATGTCCTGCACTTCCTCAGATACAAGGATAGCTTTTCCAGGATCATCATTTGCCAACATGGATGCCCCACCTGAGTAGGCTGAAGTAGTAGCAGGTAACATATGAGCAGGCTTTAGATATTTCTAGGACCTGACAAAGTTAACTGCCTTTTTTTTTTTACAGTTAACTGCCTTCTGCAGTTTACATGAAGCTAGCCTTAAACAAAACTGCCATAGCCTCCTATGGAGGTTTATACTGATGACAAGAGTAGACTCTTGCCTCAACTTTTGTTACAGAGAATACCATTCTCTGTGCTCCTCCAACTTCATAGACTATCATGCTTCATGGCTGCCCCAGCTGACTTCAACAGAACATTTAATACAATGCACATTCACCACTCTCTGGGCCAACAAGCGCTACATGTAAATGTACATACTATGCTCTCTTGCCCATCACTCTCTGCTGGCAACTCTGGGTGCAAATGCACATCATGTAGGAGCCAGGTGGTACAGTGATTAGAATGCAGTATTGCAGGCTAACTCTGCCAACAGCCTGGAGTAATGAGTAATTGAGCCCCTTCCATCCTTCCGAAGTTGGTAAAATAAGGATCTAGATTGTTGGGGACAATATGTAAATAATGCTGACATTGTAAATTGCCCAGAGAGTGCTTTTACCATCAGCAACTATGTGCAAGTGTACACACAATGCTTACTTAATTCCTGCTTTTCATGCTGGGAATTTGATGTATAAGTACAGTCATCTGCCTTTTCACATTCAAAGCTGGGAGTTTCAGCACCTTCTATCTTTCCCTGTGGCTGGACCACAAAAACTGTTGTACTTTGGATAAGAATTACTTTTCCTTTAAAAAGAGACAACCCTCTAAATTTAGTTTAAAATGGAAAAAAAAAGCTATTTTTTCATTACGTTAAGCAACCTTGCAGCTTTCCTTTTCATTTCTGAATCACTGCATCATATGCAAGTGATAATACGTAATGGCACAGCATTTCCCCCAGGATATTCTTGCAGAATATACAGGGCAGGAAAAAATGGGTGTCCCTTTAGCCAATCAATATTAATTTTGTCTTTAACTTTAAGGGGCTAATGTCAATGGCTCCAAAGGCTTACAGCTTGTTGTCGTAACTGAAACGTATGCTATGAATTCTTTCATTTTGAGTCTTACCTTTTTGTTAAAATATTCATCTTCTATGCAATATTCATACACTGGAGAAGAGCCTTGTGGCCTAGGTCTTACACTTTCGGTTGTCACTTCACTGATCTATAAAAATGGAGAAATACCATTAGCTTACTCTTATTTCCTGAATTTGTTTTCCTATTAATTTCATGGCCTTAAAAAAATTATTATTGTGGGGAAAAAAAGGTGGATTATACCTTTCTTTAATTTGATCCAGCAGGATACTGAATAATGCCAAATTCTTATTAAATTAGCCAAATGGATATAATACAAGTAGTCCTCACAACAATGATAATTGGGACTGGAATTTCTATTGGTAAGTGATGTGGCTATAAAACCATAATGTCACTTAATGACTGAAATTCTGGTACTTCCCATTGTCATTAAGTGAATCACCATGGGTCATTAAGCAAGAACATCACATGGCTTTCATTTATGACCTCCTGCCAGCTTTCCCATTAACCTTAATTTATAAGAAGTTAGCTAAATGGTTGCAAATAGTGATCATATGATGTTAGGACATTGTGGCATTGTGATTGCATGCCTGCAGGGATACTGCAACCAACATAAATATGAGAACTGGACATAAGTACTACCTGTCCAGTACCATTGTAAGTTCAGACACTTTCTGAAGAAGTGATCATTAAATGTATCCTGTATTTCCTTTAGATACTCTACTAACATGTGCCATGGATTTTTTGTTTTAGAAGGCTCTAGTTTAGTTTAACTTGTGACTAAAGTTGTTCAGGTTCAAGTTAATAAAACTTGATAATGATTTCTGAATATTTTCAATTAATGTTGTGTTAAAATCAAATCCATTATGATTCTACCATATTATATGATATAATAATGGTATAATTGAATATGCTTAACTGTATATTTAATACTTAACACAGCATTAAACCTTTGTTTCAAACAAATAACTTTGTTTGGGCCAAGTTGTGCAGAGGCTTTCAAGAGCAGATTTTGATTAAATTCAGGAAGAAGAATGGTTTAATTTGGCTTCTTATTTGATTAGATGAAGCTTGATTTCTTGCTGTGATGTTCTATGGTAAAGGAAATGAAGCTTTGCAATCCCCAATTAAAACTAATAGAGCAATCTGGATTACTTACAGAATCATCTTCTGCATCGGCCTCACCATCGGCCTCTGTATCGTCGGGTCTCAGCTGTCTACCTGATGCTGGAATTATAGGATGAAAAAGCATCAAAATTGTTCCATCCATCATAGCGATGCATAGCTTGATGTAAAATTAAATTTTAAGTATTATTGCTGATCTAGTAGTATCTGTTAGGACATCTAGTTCTGCCCTCCAATGGATTTTTAATGGATGTGCATTAATGATTTTTCATTTAAAAGATGTCTTCAATCAATAGCTCATGGGACATAAAAAAACATTATGAAGTAGCAAAATCGAGAAGACTCATCTTACAGATCTCTCTTGGCTTGGATTGATTAGACTATACATATTACTGAATTCCTTATTCAAAATTTGGGCAATAAATGATGACTTGCATTTTCAGTAGGACGCATGTAAGGATTATTTTCAAAAAATTAATAACAGGCCAAGTTTGTTTTAAAAAATCATCCTGCTGTTTTCTGTTTTTTATAAGAAACAATCATAGTTAAGTCTAGTACAGTATAATTAAAACTATATGTTCAAACAAACTGAATTCATTCTGCAACCTGAGATTCTATATTTGATTGTGACAGGATGTAAATATAATAACTAAATATTATATTTTTGTATATATTTTTGTACTAGCTGAACACCCGTGCTCCGCTATGAAACTATGTGATCAGGCTTGATAAATCGACATTTACAGCTTGAAAATTAATGAGTAGTTACGATCGGCCTCTCATCTCCCCTTCTCTCCTCAGGCTTGCTCCACAGAGGCCTCTCCTATCTTATCCCCTTCTCTCCCTCAGCTGGCCCCATTGATCCTCTCCTATCCCCTTCTCTCCCTCAGGCTTGTCCCACAGAGGTTTCTCCTATCTTATCCCCTTCTCTCCCTCCGGCTGGCTCCATTGATCCTCTCCAAACTCCCAGCCTGCAGGCCGGATGAGTCACGCGCTGGCCAAGCCCAAGTGGCAGTTGGAACAGAGTTATTTTCAGGTGGGGAGGGGGAGTAGAATGTCTAACTCCTTAGCATCAGAGTGTGTTAATAATAATATAAGAAATACTAATGCTCTGATGGTCGTTTCGAAAAATCCTTTCTAAGTGAGCACCTAGAAGCCAAGAGGAACATACGTGCCAAATTTCAAGTTTGTAGGCTTTACGGTTCTGGAGATTTTGTGATGCTGCATGAGTGTTTTTTGCTTTTATATATATAGATTTGGAACAATTTATTCTAGTTCTACTACTCATAGGAAGCAGTGAGGAACATGCAAGTCACCAAAGCTCCATCTTTCTCTATTAATAGACAGCCAGTTTGGTTTAGTGGTTAAGATGCCAGGTGTCTTAACCGCCTAAGAAGACTAGGAGGTCTAGGCCTATTAACAAAGGAGAGGTTTTGAGGCTCAGGGTTGAAATGTGGGGTCCTTGGCACTCTCTGAGCTTGTTTTCTTGCAGACATTTTGTTACCCAAACTAGGTGTGTGTGTGTGTGTGTGTGTGTGTATACACATAGAAGCACCCACAGACACAATGCAAGAAAAGAGCAGAAATGAATCTATCTGTCTGTATACACACACACACACACACACACACACACACACACACACACACACACAGAAGCAGAAGACAAAATATTACACCAATTTAAATGTAGACACCTCCTATGCCCATAGTTGATGAGGCAGTTGGAAAGAATTCTAGAAGCCATGCTCTGCATGTTTTCTCTAGTTTGTGGATGAACAAACAATCATAAAAATGAGATAAAATTGAATGCCTAAAGCTTAGGATACCATTTTGCTTTTTAAAACTCTTCAAAACAAAAGGAGGAAATAATACTGATTTACCTCAGAGAAAAGGAAAACATGTCTGTTTTTTTCAAAGCCACACCTTTCTAAAATAAGCTTTACTTATTACTGCCCTCATCTACTGAAGGTTATTGTAGTGGTTTCAAAAGGGATGCTGGTGGCTACATACACAGCCCATGAGTTGCTTATGTGTGCCCCATAAAAATGAACCAATCAGCTTTGTTTCAGCTTTTAAAAAAGCTCCAGTTTCTCTCTTTGAAACTATGCTTTATAGTCTTATGATCTAAAATGTTCTGATCTGTCTTTACTCCTACACTTTTCTTGCAAAATTATTCCTTTGTTTTGAAAGCAGTCCAGTGGCCATTGGGAACAGTTGCAGTGACTAATTCCATCATATTTGTGAAAAAGAAGCTGAAACAAAACGCCAGTTGTGAAAGATTTATGAAAGAATGAAAACACTACAAATCTTTGCAGAACAAAAAATAGTCTAGAGATTTTTGTCCAAATCTTAACTTAAGTAGTAAAATACTCAAACTTGGATTTGTTTTACTTCTGATTTTCAAAAGCTTGTTATTAGTACCTTCGAAAACCAGCTGTTAGTAAATGTCTAAATGCTTGATTACTCATTTTGAGGGGAATTTCAACAGCCAGGATCATATTTCATATCTTACAGATTTGTAGATCTTGTTTGCTGTAGGTGGTTGTAGAAATCCATTTTAGTATTTGCCTGGCACTTGTATCTACAACTATACAACCTGACCCAGATTTTTATCTCTCTACAACCTACAGCAGAGGTCCCCAACCCCTAAAAGTTCACTCTAAAAACTTGTTGAAGTTAATGTTAACTTAATTAAATCATAATGACCTCTCTCTTTATGGTTCTTTAAGATTATGAAGTATAGATTGAAATTGGCCTGATTATAGTTTGATCAACTAGTACTGTTGCATTATATTATAGTCCAGTGGTGGGTTGCTCCCGTTCTTTGTGAACTGGTAGTAACGGTGGCGGGAGGCTCTGCCCACCCGCCTGGATATCATCATGAACAATCTGCGCATGTGCAGAAGCACGTGCGTGCGCTCCGGTTGCGAACTGGTAGCAGAGGTAAGTAGAACCCACCCCTGTTGTAGTCATCAGGAGAATGGAGTTGTTCACCCAAGTGTTAGATAATCAGTATGGTTATTTAATTTTAGATCTGTAGGAAGTTAGCATCCACCCCTCTCCTAGGAAAATGAAATATTCTAGGAAATATTAAGAATATTATATTTTCCCTAAAGGAGAAACATGTTTCTAAAGACATAAACTCAGAGCCTCAGCTCCCTGCCCCACCCCACCCCCAGCACATATTTTGGTGCCAACCTATCTACAAGACAAAGGCTGGGCCAGCTTATATACAACACAAAAGACATGGCCCTCAGGACATGATAGGATTAGCCCTCACTCAAGATCCAAACCAGGACAAAGCCATTAAGCCATAATAGGAATTGCCCAAAGCCCCTTCATTACATCATCACCCAGATTCAACCAGGCCTGGGACACAGACAGCCTACAAAGTTAGCTAAGAGCCCTGCCCCCTGGGAGTCTGACAGCCAATGGGATACATTTAATTTTTTTTATTTATGTGCCACCCTTCTCCGGAGACTCAGGGCGGCTTACAATGCTTTTAAGCAATAGCCTTCATACTTTTGTATATACCTGTTTAGTAGGGCTTTTGGCCCCCCCTAAGCGGTGTTCTATTTTATACAAAGTCAGTTTATTTCCCCCACAAACCGGGTCCTCATTTTACCTACCTTGGAAGGATGGAAGGTTGAGTCAACCTTGAGCCTGATGAGAATTGAACTCGCAGTAATTGCAGGCAGCTGGCAGCTAAATTTTATTTTTATTTTATTTTTATTTATTTATTTTATATTGGATTTCTATACCGCCCTTCTCCCTGAGGACTCAGGGCGGTGTACAGCCAGATTAAAAAACATGCAGAACAAATATTAAAAACAATTAAAAGATATATAAATTTGGCCCAATTAAAACTCATTTACCAATTAAAAACGTTTAAAACATTTAAAAATACTACTTTAACAGTAGTTTAGTCCATTGTACCACCAGGCTCTACATTTCTTGTACAGGAACAGGAAACTCTTAAGGCAGGGCCCAAGAGAGTGAATCAATATATCCCTCTCTCCACTCCATGTGCTCTTTTTTTGCCCAGGACCCAAAAACCCCATGTGATCCTCTCCACCATTAAACCATATTTCCAAGCAGTCTCCATGTTTCCAGTGTCTTTCTCCCCATTTGGAACTGAACCCAGATGGACATTTCTTCCAACAATTTTGTAGTCATCAGGAGAATGGAGTTGTTCACCCAAGTTTTAGGTAATCAGTATGGTTATTTAATTTTAGATCAATGTTTGCTGTTATTCATTGGCTGCCTGAAATTTTCTGGATTGCTAGATCTATTACAAACCTTGTAAACAACTCTTACAACCAGATGTAGTGACAAGATGGGAAAATAATTTCAAAATCCTCACTTCTGAACCTAGGTATCTACCATCCAGGGTCAAGGAAACAATATATCCTTTTCCCTTATGGAGTACAATCTTCAAAGGTTAAGCCTAAGGAGGGGGCAGTCCAAATAAGAGTAAGGAAAATTACGTCTTTTCCTTAAAATGAGCAATTATTTCATTTGGCTTAACTGTACACCCACTAAAAGCAATGGGGCACAGATTAAAAACTGCAATCCTCATAAAGGTACATAACTGCTGCCTCTCCCTGTCAGTTGGCATGAAGAAGCCAAATTCCAAACTTAGTATAGGACCTTCCAGAATCAGGATGGACATGTATTCTTATGAATACAAATATGCTAATTTCTTTCTTTTTTTAAAAAAAAAAATCTTAGAAAAGCATACATGTGCAATCTTTAATGTTACCTTTCATTTGGATATATTACATTGTAGAATGGAGTAGCAATGAATAACAGAGTTGGAAGGGACCTTGGGAGATAGAATAGAATAGAATAGAATAGAATAGAATAGAATAGAATAGAATAGAATAGAATAGAATAGAATAGAATAACAGAGTTGGAAGGGACCTTGGAGATCTTCTAGTCCAACCCCCTGCCCAGGCAGGAAACCCTACATCACTTCAGATCTTCTAGTTCAACCCACTGCTCAAGCAGGAGACCCTATACCATGTATATATATGGATTTGTGTAGTTGCTTTATTAACCCTAAATACACCATTTGGTTTGAGCAATTTTGGGTCTTCTAT